ACATCAGGGGGCTCCACATGAGCTCCAAGTGTGTGCCCAGGATCTGGGCTCTGGGGAGCTCCTGCAGACAGACACTCACCCCCATTTGTCCTGGGTCTGTCTACTGGTGTCCAGGTCATTTGCCTTCTGGTTTGGAAATAAGGATGAGCTTTCACAGCAGCTGCTTTCACTGTGTGGTCACTGGGACCCAGGGAGATGAAAACACCTCCTCATGATGGAGTGACCACTGTGAACTCCTAAGTACTAGAAAGGGAAAGGGAGAAGTCAGATGGAGAGTGTGTCCAAATAACCCAAAAATAACACTCTTCAGGTAAAGTCCTTTACAAAGAACAAGAGTGACCAGGAAGGGACTTGTCCAGGACCGAGGGGAACAATAAATCATGGAAGACTGAACAGGCTGACATAATCAGAACAAAAGAAGTTGAAATCAGGAACACTTTAAGAGTGGGTGAAATGAAATATAAATCATTCACAGTGTGTTTCCTTACCAAAATATATTAACAAACCTTTACCAGAACAGATCATCTGTCTGATTCATGCTCCAGCAGCCAAAAACCAATCTGCTTAAACTCTGTTTTAAATAAGGGGTGGGAAACACCCACCTTTCTTTTGTCAGCCACTACACTCAGCCACATTGTTTTCCAGAAGTGATTTACTAGACTGGAGTTAGTAAGAAAATCCATCTCCTCTGTTTCCTTAAGGAAACCCAGATTAGTAAGGCTGGGGCTGCAATCCTATTCTTTACTGCCCAGTTCTGTCAGTCCAGGTGGCCACACTTCCCTCTTGCAGGCAGAGTGACTCAAAGCACTGAGCTCAAGTTATTCCCATCTCCCAGGATGCTCACTGGACATGGTCTCAGAAAACCACATTTAAGTGCTTTCAATTTGAAGCTGAAAGACTTTTAAGCCTTCCTGGCTGATAAATACTACTCATCAACGTGGAAATTCTTGTTCAGTGCTGATTCCGCCACAAAAGTCAACCCACCTTAAGGAAAAAAAAATCCAGACAAAATCCCACCTTGCATCCTCTTAGCTCCTAAAATTATCCTGCACCTCCTTCCTTGACATCTTGTTATGTAGCAGACTTTGAGAACAGCTGCCATCATGCTCTCAAAGCAAACAACATCACAGTCAGCAGAGCAGCAGCAGGGAAGGGGTTTTCATCTCCCTGGGTCCCAGTGACCACACAGTGAAAGCAGCTCCTGTGAAAGTTCATCACTATTTCCAAACTAGAAGGCAGCCCCTCAAGGTAAAAAGCAAATAACCTGGAAATGTGTTGTGCACAGGTAAAACTCATGGGCTGGGGAAGGGCAAGGGGAGCATAAAGGGAAAAACAAACACAAGCACGAATTCACCACTTCAGAGGCAGCTGGAGCAGCTGCCCCGACCTCAGCTTGGCAGGGAACGAGAAAACACTGAGGGCAAAAAGAAGAAATCCTCACAGTGCCAGCAGAAGTGATTTTTGTTTGTTTTTTTTTCCAAACTCCATCTTTCCTAGGAACCCAGTGGGGGTTTGAAGACCTTCTCTTTGCATGGAAGTTGTTATCTCTCACAGACATTTCACCTTCCTGTCCCACATGTCAGCACAATGCAAGACTAAAAGTGATGGACATCCTTGAGCGTGCCAGGGACAAAGGCACACAAAGAGAGGAGACAGCTGGGGGAACTAAACAATGACTTGAAAACTAAAGCAAACCTTCTGACAGGTTCTGAGCACCAGGCTGTCAGCCAAAAAAAGCAGCCTTGAGGTTTCCCTGAGGAAATATGCTGTTCTGCAGATGTGAAGGGTGGTCAACCTACTTTTCACTTGACCCCAGCTCTGCCAGGAGCTCCTGGGCCAGGCCAGCAGCCCTTCTGCTCTTTGGGCAAGGTAAAAGTTGCTCTTCTGCCTGGGATTTGCGCATGGAAAAGTGACCTGGCTGATCTCAGAATGCCAAATTCTTAGACTCACAGAATAGTCTGGGTTGGAAAGGAGCTTTAAAAGCCGTTTAAGCCCCCCTGCAGTCAGCAGGGACATCAACTAGACCAGGGATGGGCATCCACCACCTCTTGGGGCAACCTTCTACCACTCTCATTGAAAATACTTTTTCCTTATATATATAAAATCTAAATTGATCCTCTTGTAGTTTAAAACCATTCCCCTTGTTCTATTGTGACAAATTCCCAGGAGAAGACACTACAAGTCCCTGTCACTCACAGTGAGGGATGGCCAGCATCCAGCAGGAAGTTTTCCAGAAGTCACCAGTAGCAATCATTTGTTTCCCTAAAAAAAAAAAAAAAAAAAAGAAGTCAAGAGAGGGAGTTTATGTTGCAATTTCAAAAACCTCTGCAAATTACTGTATATTCTATTCTACCAAGTGGTAGAGCTCAGACAAGCAATCAAATGTTGCCTTTCATGGGTAGTGCAAGATCTGGGACACAATCCCAAGACACTCAGCTCCCCCAGGAAGATAACACAGTCTTTTAACTACAGCCAAGTTCCTCACTCTCACATCTCTTAAGAAGAAAAGTGCAAGTTGATGCCATGAGAAACACAAATTGTGGTTTCCCAATTCATCTCAAAAGTCCATATGTCTTAAAGGACACACTGGGTCACTGTGGCCTTTCCCAAAGGAATTATTCATGCACTCAGAGTTCATTTGTGATGCTTCTCTCATGGACTTATAAAAGCTCATAGTGTGCTGCAAACAAAAGAAATCATGAGGGCTGCTGTTCAAAGGTGCTTTATTTGGCTTCTTTTCAGCAAGGGAAATATAGAAAACAAGACAATATATCAGCAGAGCATGAAACTTCAGATAAAGAGTAATGAAGCAAGGAACATGACGCCAACAATACTTGTAAAAATATGAAATGCACTGGTTTGATTTACTGAAGTTATTTCCAAATCTGAAACAAACCTCAGGTGCTTCTGTAAATTTTCCTCACAAGTTTTGTTCAATTTTTTTTTTAAAGACGAAAAAAAATATCCCAAAACACCCTTAAAAAAAGCCCCAAAGTCCCACTTCTTGCACAGAAAGGAAGCAAAATACAGACCAAGACTACAAAAAAACCCAAAGTGCAATGAAGCATTTCTGGAATCCCAAACAAGTAGGTTAAAAAAAAAAAAAAAAAAGGCCAGTTGATGTATTGGCTGGAAAAGATTTATTTTTTTATTAGAAAAAGTAAATTATATAAATAAATAATCGACATTGCATTTACAATAATAGGGCAAATGTCATCCCTCACATCCTTAGTAATACTCTGAGACACACACACACAAAGTTTTGCCACTGCTCTGGAAACAACAGAACACTGGTTCTGACACTGAGTCCTAAGTCTTGCATCTCCCTAAATCCTCTCTGTAGGTGTTTCAGATTGACAGTCTGTACTCTTGGTAAACACACGACATAAAAAGCACAAGACAAAAGGCACTTAGGAAGTACAACACACTCGGTGAGATGGAGTATTTCAGGTGCACAAATAAATGCTGATCAAACCCAAAAGATGGTACTGGTAGTGATCCCAATACAGTGACATTCAGACAGAAGGAAAACCTTAAACATTTAACTCCTCAGTTGAACAAAACATCACCAGAGGACCCCCTAAAGTGCTCCCATCTATCCTGTCAGTAAAATGGGCCACTAAATGCACACCCCGAGGTAGGCTTGGTTTTGGCAACCCTCACCCTGTGAAGGTGCTCAGGGGCTGTCAGGGTTTAACTAAGCCCCACAGAGCTGCTTTCACAGCCCCCTGGGAGGGCTGGGAGAATCAGCAGAGTTGCCCCATACTGCCTTCTGCACAGAAAATGAACTCTATCCCAACCAAAACAAGCACGGGGGAGCTCAGGCAATTGGGACTTGAAGCCTGGAAATGGCCAGATGAGCAGGTCTGGGTAGGACCAGCTTAGGGTTGTGGGGGAGAGAGGAGCTCCAACACAACCTGAGGCAGGAGCAGAATTAGGGCCCAGCTCATAAGAGTAGTGCAGTGCCTTTATCTGCCACCAAAATCCGGGCAAATCAGCAAATCCAGGTTCTGTAAGACCTCCTGTTGACATCACCCCACCCACAGCAGGGACACAGGCCCGCCAGCTCAGAGGGTGACACCCCAAACAACAAGGCCCAGCAGAGAATAATGGCCTCTGGTGATTTATGTGGCTTCAAAAAGACACAGTGACAAATGGATGGAGAGAGGGAAAACTGTTTTAACAGTGACCACCAGAACTATTGAGGAAGTTAGTCCATGGTTTTTGACAGCAAAGCAAGGAGTAGGATTGGGTATTAACAGAGTTGTTTTGGAAAATAACCAGAGAGAGAATGACAGCAAAAAAGAAAGGAGAGGTGGAGATGACCATGCTTACATTACTGGGCTTTGTTTCCAACTCCTCCTCACTTATTTTAAAGAAACCACCAAAAACCCCCAAAACAAACTGAACCAAAAGAAACAAAAAACCCCCAAACCAAGCAGAAACCCCACCCCAGGATTAGAAAGGTCAAATAAAGTACAATATTTATGTATTATATAAATTATATATAATTCTTCTTTCCCAACTGTGGTTGCTACTTTCTTTAACCTGCCACCTCCTTGGAGTCCTGTTGCTCTTCCCCAGTAATTCTGACAAATTCAGTGTGGTTTGAGTTCCTGTGGCCTCGACTCCTGTGGTTTTGAGCCCAGAAGGTGTTTTTGGAGAAAGTTAAGCAATACTGTCCTTGGCACAATGACACATTCACTGAGGAAAAGGAGCTGGAATAGCTGGGTAAGAGAAGGAAAACCAGATCACGGGAAGAGGGCGATGAACTCAGAGTTGCTGCAAGTGAAATTGCAGACAGAGGTTGGCAAAAATTAAACCCCTCTCTACTACAAGAGCAATCAGGCACTGCAAGAGGGTCCCCAGGGAGTCTGCAGAGCTTCCATCCATGGGTGTTTGCAAATCTCAACTGGAAGAAGGCACACACGTTTTTCACAGCAGCAGTACCATGAGTGGCACGAGCAAAGAAGATTTTGGCACAGCAGAGAGAGGACTAAGTGGTCCAGACTGAATAAAAAAAACATTGTGTTAGTCATTTCAGTGATAACTCAGTGTCTAGATAGAGCAGTGTATGTATCTTTTCCTTTTTTTGTTGCTTCTTTCCAGCCAGTCAAGTCACTATTTCTAATGCTGACTTCGGGTTGCTGGGCTCTGATGATCTGGAAGGTGAGTGGAAACCCTCAAGGATCCTAGAAAACAAAGAAAAAAAAAACAGGGAAAAGGATGAATTGTGGCCACCGTGTTGCTGCCTCAAGGGCAAGGGGGGAGAGAAATGCACAGTGGGGAAAGTGGGGAACAACAGTCACAAAACTGCCCTTTGGTGAACAACTGTAGGACCCTCCCTGCTTTTTTTAATTCTGGAAGTCACACATGCTGCAGAATTCAGGATAAGACAGGGAGATAAGAAATACACAGAACCCTAAAAGGATTTGTAAACTCTGAAAAGCAAACTAACTTTCCTGGTTGGCAGAACACCAGGATAAACCAGTAAGGTTTTATATGGAGCATATAAATAGTTTGGTATTTCAGAATGTCATTCTGATGTTTGAGATGCAATTTATAACACTATCATCACATGGCTTTGAAGACAGGGACAAAATATATGGCACCTTTGCTTTTCATGTAGAAGAATATGAAAGAGGTTTCCATCTCCTTGTCTAATAACCCTTCATACAGCCAAAGTATTTTGCAGAGTGTTTTGGAATTGAGTATATAAATAATTCCTGCCAAAGAAGCGAATGAGGAATTGAAACAGCGAGGTAACTATTCATTTATCAAAGGAGTGCTATTTTTCCTGCCTTTCAGCTGCATTTTATTTTCTGGTTATATACAAAGCACAGATATGATGGACAGGATGAAAATTGCGTTGGTCACCCATAGTAAAAGCCTCCTTGTTTGCAAAGAAACAGCGTTTTAGCAGCATAGACTTCAACACTTCTCCTCTGGACAGGCACGACAACCTCTGGGATGTTTCCTACACCACCACCTTCATCCTGTCTGCAACAAACAGGATTTATTTCATCCTGAACAGAAAATTAAGTGACTTACTAGGGAACAGGTGCTGTCTGGAAGCAGCAGATGATGAAACCCAAAAACATCTTCACTTGGGTTGCAAAATATTTATGTCTGTGGGAAACCTGGTGGGCAGCTGACAGCAGAATTACCTCTTTGTTGACATTTTTGTAATGAGGGGTGGTTTTTTTTTTTAGTTCCCCCCCCTCATTAGTTCTGCTTTGGTCTGTTTGGCTACAATATTTTTACACTGTGGTTTTTGGGGGAGTTGGGTTGGGGTTTGTCTGGGTTTTTGTTTGTTTTCTGTTCTTTTTTTTGTGTAGTGTTAAGAAGGGTAAAGCAATGAGGCTGTTGTATATTCACTGCGTGTTTTTTGCCATTTTTCTGGGAATTAAAAATAGGATAAATATATAAATCTCCTACTCATGATAAAGCCACACTTGAGAGGAAACCAAAAAAGTCTAAAATGAGCCTCCCCAGCTGGGACATGACTCCCAGACACCCACTCCTCTGTGAGCAGGGAGAGTTAGATCCATCTGCCTCACGAAAGAGGGAGTTAAGTCCTGAGTTTATCATCTGAAAGTCTGGTGTTTAGCCTGTCTTTTCTGGAAAAATTATTCTGAAAAGTCTCCTAAAACCAAGCAGCTATGTTGTTCTCAACTACCAAGTCTCTCACTAATAATAAATCCAGATGTATGTCAAAGCAACCCACTGCATAAACAAGTCAGGTCATGAGATAAAATAGGAATTGCCATAATTTTAAGCCAAAGCTTAGAAACAAAGCCTTCCCCAAACTGAATAAACACAAGAAAATACTGCTATAGTGGCTCTTCCAGAATTAATTGCTATTTTTACTATAAACATAGCAATGGAAAGTGTCTCTAAGCTCTTGTTTTTGTCAAGTTTTCTAAACAACTGGAATTTCCTGCACAAGACTTATTTCCCAGCCTTTCAGGACATGTTTGGCCACCAAAATTTGGGGTTCTGGTACCTGAGTATTACAGCTGACCACCCAAATTGCTATTTGCCACTTAACAAACCTGAATCTCTACTATTTGTAGCAACTTCCAAAACTCGGAACAAAAAAAAAAACCCAATCAGGGCATCTTAAATTCCTGTTCAGGGTATCAAGTGATCTCCAGCTGGCTACAAAAAGGTATTTTCAACTTATTTTATAATACTTTTGTCAACTATGACGCACACTGAAGTTCAGTATTTCTTTGAAATACAGAGAGTTGCTTGTATTCAAACACAAACATAGAATCATCAAGGCTGGAAAAGACCTCCAAGATCATCAAGTCCGACCTTTGACAAAGGCACAATGCTGCTCACATCTGAATTCCAAAAAATTTCCACTTGAAGGGAAACCTGAAGGTTTTGACTTCCAAACAGGAAAAAAAAACCCCATAACATCTCTCTGCTGGCACTTTCTGCAGAATGGAAACTTTGATCTGACCTAATCTCTTCTTCTATGACTCTTCAAGTTTTCTTTTTCCAGCTTTCTTGGGTCACATCATATCTATTCATTAACAAGCCCCACATTTTTCTGTCCTGTTGCTACAGCTTTTTGAAACACAAACATACAATTTGACTATTTATTAACCTCTCCACATGTCAAAACCTGCATAAGCTGCCCAAGAGACATCAACATAGCAATGCTTAAGAACAAAACCAACCAAGGAAATCATCCTGGCCTTTCTATGGTGAAATAGCCCCTCCTGGGCTATTGCAGGTCACCACAAGCCTCCCGGAAAAAAGCATATGTGGAATTTTATCCCCCTACAGACACCCTGAGAAGTAACTATAAAGCTTTTTAATTGGCCAGGCTGAAATAAGAGTATCCTGCAAGCCTTGAAATAAGCAACTGATGCTGTGGAGAGCAGTCAGGTTGCAACATGTGAAGGACAGGTAAGGCACAGGAATTTATTTAGGCTCATAAAGCTTTATTTTGCTTCAACCCAGGCTCTTGGCTTCTTAAGTGACTGCTTTACATTGGTGTAAATAAGCTCTGTTAGTTGAGCCAGGAAGGAAATTGTAGCTTTTTATGAGAGGAGTACCAAGAGAGGGTGGGTGAGATTTTGCCTGCTGATTCATTGCAGCTCATTGCACTTGTATGGAGTGAGAGGCACAGCTAAATTTGCCTCTGCGTGTCAGAGATGAAGATATGAGTTTTCCATCTGCACTTGCCACAAAGGCCACTCAGTTTGTTCCCAAATAAGTGACTTTTTGCCAACCATTGTGAAGACACTTCACTCGAGATGCTTTCAGGGAGAGCTACAAAACGTGTGTGCTCTGTAACTGGTACACAAGGCAAACGCCTGAGGGATGGGACATCAAACTTCAACCCCAGCTCTTGACCTAATTCCCAAGAATCTACCACAAAAAGGAAGGAAACAACAAACAGAAAAGCAAAGAAAAAACTAATCATACTCTCAAGAGCAGAAGCAACTTTGTCAGAGAAGTGTCCCCAGCCACTCAGATAAAAAGCTGCTGTTTTACTTCATGAGCAACTTGACAAGACTACAAAGGCAGTGCTTGTTATCTGGTGCAGAATGAAGAGCAGTATTAAAGTCCCAGACAGACAGGGGGATTTTCCAGCCAGTGCTATTTGCTCTCTGTTGTGAGGTTACAAAAAGCCCTTCCAAAAGTGTGTCCGTGGGCACTGCCCCTCATTCCAACCCAACATGAGCACAAGAGAGGATAAAATCAGAAAAGGGCTTTCTGCAAGGTGTTACTGCCTCTTGGGGGAATCAACTACAACTTTAAAAATTAGAAACATATTTCACAGATAATTCAGGAAAAAAAACAGTCACCACAAAACCAGACAAGGATCCATAGCTAAGGAGGGTTAGGGGATTTCCTCGTTACAATATGGTGTTTGTGGAGTGGTAATAGACTGGAAATACAGTGTTAAAAATTGCTGTAGTTCCGCAGGTACTCTAAGGATTCCCAGAGAAATGATAGTTATAATTGTATGCAAGACAAATATTAAGTAACCCCTAGGAACAGGCATAAAAGAGCATCCTGGGGATAAAAAATACGTTAAAAAAAATCTAAAAAAAACAGATTGTGATAGAGTGATCAAACTGCACTACTGCCTGAGTTTTACAGCAAACTAATTAACGGGGACTTCAGGAAACAAATGTACATTAGGAAGATGGACTACACATTTTTTTTAAGGTGGTCACTGTATGAAGGAATAGGATCAGCTGGCCAAAGTTGCTCTGGATAAAGTAATGCTGCCTTTATGCAAAGAGGAGCCAAGTCATCACATGACATTTTCAGAACTCAAGATTGAAAAGCAACTGAAAATATGCAGACTAAGGCTGATAAAAACTAGGCTGCATTAGAAGAACAGAGACCGAAGGACTTCCAAGATCACTGCAGAAGTCACATCCTGGAGTTTGTTAATCAAAACCCACAATGAACGGGAAGGAACACAAACAATTCACTCAAGTCCTGCTTTTCACAAAAAAAGTCACTAAAATCGTGCTTTTGTTGATAAACTTTGACAGAAACTCATACCCCCTAGTAAACACTGTTCAGTTAATTTATCCAAACAATTCTGCTTGTTTATAGGAACAATGGAAAGCTCATATTTTACAACTAAAACTTTTCTGGGGTGTGAGAAGTGTCCATTTCTTTCTTCTCTGTGAAGACTTTTGCAGTAGCAGATTTAATAGATCAACCCCTCTCAGCAGTAGACACTCTAGGTTTAAGTTCCCAACAGACAGATCTGATATTTCTGGAAACATTGCTTGATATCACATTATCATCAGGAAGCAAGTATCTAAATATTCAGGAACTGAGTAAACGTGTGCTGGTGTTTCTAAATACATCAGTAGAATTTAAAGCCAGACACAGCATTTTGATTTAGCTGAACATCAGTGAAATTACCACTGACCACCAAATTTCTGTGATTTCTGAAGCCTCCCCACTCCTCTAATTTATTTTTTTCCTATTATGTTATTAGTAATTAAGACTAGACAGTCGAATTGATCCGTGACAGGTCATTCCACATGCAAAGACATTACACTGACTGCAATTTCTCCTTAGTTCTTCATTAGGAAACAGACTCTTATGCCAAATTTGAGCAGATCTCACCATATCTCCCTGTTTGTCTTAAACACAAAAATGGTGCTGTAACCAGCAGAAAACTTTTCCCCTGAGGGAAAACCACTGGTTTCCACACATCAGGGACTCACCACTTCAGCACCTCCTGCAGATTTTCTTCCTCCAGAACAGCAAACACACAACTACGACAACAGTTACGATCACAGCAATTATCAGCAGCCAAAGTAATGAGGGTCCCTCCTCTGTGAAAACAAAACAAAAAACACACCAAATGAAGCTGGTTTATAAAGAAAATAAACAAAGACAGCCAAGAGGATGTCTGGTTAATGGCAGTGCTTCCTCTGATATTGTGAAAGGCATTGCTAAAATACAAAAAAGCAGCAATTGCTCAAAACAGAGTGTGAATTTCTGAATCCTCAAAGGCAAAACCACTTCCCTCCAGAAAATGTGAAAAGATGTGCTCATGTTCAACCATGGCCAAGAAAAGTGCCATTCTCACCCCCAATACAGTGGTGGGCATGGGCACAAATGCACAACTTCACCCAAGTCTTAATGCTTTCAGAGGAGTTTGTTTGTTCATCCAGAATTTTATCTTCTTGTTTGTAAAATAAAAGTTATTCTTTTCACCTTTAAACAATTATCACTGTTGAAAAGGCTGAATTAACCTTCAGAAGAGAAGAGAGGCCTGCAAATAGCCCTACCCAACACCTAAGCATAAATTCCTCCCTGGTTAACCACTTTAACTGCCATTAATCAAAAATGATAATACAAAGGCCCAGGTCACTGACATTACCTGGAAAACTTTACGAATTAAAATGTATTTGCATCAAGCCAACACTATTCTGTTTTTTAACAAAGCTAGGTGGAACTATTCATTGGAATTTATCATCCTCTAAAATATAATACTGCTAAAATAACAAGCTGTCAGCTGATTTTTCATTCTCCTAGCAAGAAAAAAAAAGTCTTAGTTTCCTGCTTTCTGAGATACATATTTTCTTTTCAAAAGGCCAAAACAAAAGAATATTGACATTCAGACAGGAGAAACATTTAGCATGCTTTTTCAATTAGTATAATTCAGAATTAAGAACTGATCCGAAGGTTTTTAAGTTTTAGAGAGAAGACAATAAGTCAGATCTTGCTCTGTACTATTACTCCTGTAACAATCACTTCTTGAGCATCTGATTTCAGAATTAACCCACATTTATGTGCTGCTTTTCCTGTCTCCCTAATTTATCAGTGGTCTCTCCCCTTTAAGGCTCTGGATTTGGAGACACGTGAATTTTAAATATCCCAAGTCAATGCTTCTGTATGAACTAAAAATGGTAATTCAGCTTTTAATATTTCTCTTTCTCACCTGTAGAACTGGGGTGAAAGTCTTTCCAGCAGAATAGAATGCTGGAAGAAGAAATAAAAAATACTACAAGGTATTCAGATGTCACATGTATTTAAGATGTCTGCATAAACCCAACACAAGCATCTTCAACTGGCTGCCTCCCTGTATGCCTGGAAATACTATTCCTTCCTCACCATGACTATTCCTTCCTTCCTGCACCTCTAGTGCAAAGTCCTTCTGCTGCATTCTCCCAGAAATCTATAAGGTTATGTTGATTTACCTTAGCTGAGGCTCTGGCTCTCTTCTAAACTCTTTAAATTAAAAATACACAGGTTAAAACACAACAAAGCCTGTGGTAAGTTGAAGCCAAGCTTTTGGTTCAGAGGTAGTTTGTTATGAATTTCAAAACTCCCACTTCTGTGTCCATCAAGTGACCCATGGAGTTTCTACTTCATCTGGATATATATCAGGTGATATATTTATATTTATTTTTAGGCTGTTAAATTACAAAGGCCTGCGTGAAAATTGAAGTTTGACTTGCTGCAAAACACATGGTGCCTCTAAAACCCACAGTTTGGCTTTTTTCCCCTCCTCCCTTTGATAGGACTCCAGTATGTCACTGTCTCAAAAGACAGCAACAAATGCAAATAGGATTTTATTTCTTCTTGCTTGACATACACACATCTCACCCCCTCCTCTTCCCAGCAGACTCCCACCCAAACATGGAGGCCAAGAGAACACTGACAAGGTGCTTTCACTGTTCACCCACCTCCGTTAATTCTCACGGGCAATTCCCTGGTTTCCTTCGTGTTGTTCACTCTGCAGATCAAGTCCTGGGCCCTGATCCTCTGGGGGTTGTGGACGTGCAGGGTGCTGGTGATGGACACCACCCCACTGGCGTGACTGACCACCTCCTGTGTAGGAGCAGAATCGAACAAGTTGTTCCAGGTGATGGTGGGCTCTGGGAAGCCAACAGCACTACAGACGGCTACCAAGTGACCTTCAGAAATGTTGTAGTGGACAGATGCATTGAGACCTTCCAACACACAAATGAGACAATCCATCACCACAACGAGCTCCTGCTCACAGGCAGTAAACAGCAGTCCAACCATCACGAAGCAGAGCAAAGCTTACTGCATTCACACTGAGCCCAAAGAAGTGCTCACTGGGTCAGGTTCCCTTCAGGACTCAAAACTCCTTCCCTTATACTCAAGTTATACACCCAAGTTAAACACTTCACTTGATCTGAAATCCAGGTATTAAAATAATCTGTTCAATAAAACCATTTCTTGGTCCCATCTGCTAATTCCCTACCAATTTGGCACAGCTCACAGCATGGGGGTTGTTGCTGGCACCGAGAGGAAACAGCAACAGGCAACGTTGGTTTGCCCAAGTTCCATCTGGGACTGCCCAAGGGCTTACAAAGATCCCGCTCCTTGCTTTTTAGCTGCTACTCAAGGAATAACAACCAAGAGCCAAACCCACCACAACAGTCTTGAACATGACCCCCAGAGACTTGCTCACTGCAGTAATGCTCTGTTTCTACATCCTGTTCCACCAAGGGATGCTCCTACCCCTGCAGTTCCTGAATCTGCTCCAGGAAATACTGTGGGTGAGAAAACACCTCTTATTCCACCAGAAACACATCCCTGCAGGGAACCTCACCAAAGACACTAAGGCAGGTACGTCCAGAGACGGAGCCTGAGGGAAAAGTATTGAAGAGACACAGGTAACATCCCGAATCATCCATTGTAGCGTCCCAAAAAGTGATGCTTGTCTCGTTGAGTTCCAGACTTGTGAAATTCATTCGGTCTTGATAGGACTTGTGAATCCTCAATCCTTTCAGTTTACTGTATGTAGCTATATTCTTAAGTGATTTTTCGGAGCCCTTCTGCCACGTCACTTGCACGACATCCATGGGTTCTGTCAGGGCACAGCTCAGAGGGGCGTTGTCACCCACCCTCACTTGAATTTCTTCAGCCTGTGGAACCACTGCAGCAACATAAAATAGTGAAAGGGGCAGATATCACTGATGATAATGCTGATTCTAAGGCCTGGATTACCCACAGACACAACAACTCCTCCAATTAGGAGGAGTTTCCTCCACCAAAAAGTCCTTCTCTTGAGTACTCCTAGAAATCACTGATGTTGATTTACATTGCCTGAGGCTCTGGCTTTCTTCTAAACTGTTTAAATGCAAAAAGACTTACCCTATTTCTGTACCCATCCCTGCAGACTTCCTTCTCCAGCTTCACTAAATCAGCTCCCGCCTTCCCATTCATCACATACCCAGTTTTTGTTTCCTGAGAGCTAGAGGAAGACTGAGTGCATCAGGGAAGTACACACCAAGCCATTCTCAGAGGAGCAAACACGGCTTCAGAAGAGTTTCTGGACCACGTAGTTTTAGAGTTCACAGCACATTTGAGATGGAGAGAAAGAAAATCAGAGATCTGTTCCTTAGGGAAGGCTCCACGATGGGAAACTGAATTCAGGTGAACAGCAGTGTCCAGTGTCATCATATTTATGGGATGCTGCCATCCCTAAATGCTGCTCTGGGAGGTTTTATGTCACACCTGCCAGCACCATGTCTCTGCCTCAGCACGTATTTAACAGCATCAGCAATCTGGATTGCAGCTACTTTTATCTCTTACTCTGACTGTTGAAGCCTCAGGAACCTGAAACCGCTTCCCCAACAATTTTCAAGCAGATTTCAGGAAATTCAACTTACCCTTTGCCTTTCCAAGCCCAGAACATGCCAGACAGAAAACCAGAAATCGGAAAGTCATTTTGGAAGAGGAAATCTGCTTCACCTGAGGGAAGACAAGGAGAGATGAGTGACTCAATCACAGACCATCCTCTGGTGATATTGTGATCTCAGGGTGTAAAAATTAACAGTAAGTTTGTCGTGTGAGAAAAAAATCTGGGGTTCGACACAAGATTTGACAGGTCTCATTGCCCTGTTCCCTCGGCTGATATTGGCACAACACAACTGAATTGCAGACCTGCCTGAAGCTGGCATTATATCCAAGCAGAAACATTATTTTGCACAAAATACCTTTGTAACACACTCCACTCAACTGCTGAGGTTTTCTGCCAATGCCTGCAAAAACAGTTGATGCATCTTGGGAGCATCTTTTGTCAAGAACATAAAGAAAATCCCAACCTTTTAAAGATTTTCACAACATGCAAAAAACAGAAGAGAGAATCGACTGTAAAGCATTTTCTGCGTTATATGGGTTAAAATAGGAGGGCTGATGAACAAATAAATGAATGACAGGAAGAAAAAGAAAGTATTTAAAACAAATTCCCAGAGCACATAATGCTTACACAGACAACCAGTAGCCTGCCTTTAAATTCTGAACACACTATGCTAAAACCAGCCCTGATACAACTCTCCAGTTACCAAGCACAAAGAGATCAAGTTCTGAGGTGTAAAGATCAGGAAACAAGGATCCATCAGCAACAAGCCCAATGAAGAGTTTGCCAGATAATACAGTGTAGCCAGATATTTAAGCAATAAGAAATTCAGACAGATATTCCTAAAAACAAGCAGAAATCAAGGGCCAGCATAGCAAACAGAAAATACCGAGTTAAAGAAGTGTTTATAAAGCAGTGAAAGACGTGTCACACCTGCAGGCAAGCAGAGTTTTCAACTCCAGCCTTCTGTGTCACTGCTTTGGGACCCGTTAAAGCCCTTAATGGACCATCACGCACAAATGGGGTAGATAAAAGGTTTCATACGATGAGGAACCAGGCTACACCGTGTAGCTATATGGGCCACCAAAAAAAAGTCCCTAGGGTCACGAGTCCAATCATCAGTAAAAAAAAAAAAAACAAAACCAGAAAAACCCACACAAACAAACAAAAAACCCCCCACACTCAAAAAACACCCACAAAAACCCACAAACAAACAAACAAAAAAAAACAAAAAAAAAACCCAAAGAAAACGACCAACGAAAAAAACAACCCCACAAAAAATCAGAAGAAAGGGAAAAAAGGCGTTAAAGACTCAAACTGCGGCAAGTAAAGCGCGAATCTTTCAATCAATCCTTGGCTGTGCCTGCCCTTCCCGACCCGCACCTCGGAGGGCTCCCGAGCCACCTCCTGTGCCCCTCGCCGTCCAAACCGCTCCTCCGCCGCTTCCTTTCCGAAAACTTCCAGAAAGTTTCATTCTGAAACTCCTTCAACTTTAAAGAAAAACTTTTATCCTTCTGGAAAACCGGCCCCAGGAACTGCTCGGCGTCACAGGCTCAGAAGAGCGGCTGCGGCAGGAGCCGGGCACCGTCCCGGTCAGGAATGATGGAGAAAGGAGGCGCGGGCACCTCTCCAGCATCTGGGAACGGCCCGGAGCCGCTTCTGCAGCCGAACCTCCCCCGGGGGAGCCTCTCCGGGCACGGCCGGGGCCCGGCTCGGGGCCACCGGGCTCCGGAGGCTCCAGCATTCCAGTCCCGCTCCCGGGACACCCTGGGGCGATGCCGGGCTGCGCCTCCTGCCCCGCACGGACACCCAGCGCCCGCCGCTCCCCGAAACCCACCTCGGAGCTGGGAATGCGACCCGAGGGATGGGTGCTCACGGGCAAGCTCCTGGCAGCAGGGAGAAGGATGGAGGGAGTGCCCGGGGCAGACGGGAATGCCCAGCCCCGTCCTCCGCCCCTCGTCCCAGCGCTGTGCTCGCGGTATTCCCAAGGGAGCGGGGACGCGTCCTAGTAGAGCTTCTTATTCATTCAGCGTAACCTTTTCCCTCAAGGGTTATGAATAACAACTAAATTACAAGTTTGCCTTGGAAAATTAAAAAAAAAAAAAAAAAAACAAAAACACAAAAAAAACCCCAAAACCAAGAACACGGTTTGCTTACAGCAGGAGACGTTCTAAACTCTGAGCAATCCACAGGTGGCAGCACAGAGTCGGTTCCAGCAGCTCTCCGGGATGGATAACCACGCTGCTGCTGGAAATCAGTAGTGTAAACCTGAACTTCAAAGGAAATTTGGGGGTTTACTCCTGCGTACAGCAGATAAATTCCTTTTGTGATCAAAGCACTTCCTCCTCTGGTTTCTGTTCAAGGGTAGCGTCAGTCACACCAAAAATGAATTTTAATTAAAGACATCTGTGCTGTCATAAAACACTCAAACCAGAATCCAATAGCAAAACATAATGTAATAATGACAACAGATGATAATATTTTATAATAATGGCCAAGAGCTGTGACATTCAGTGTCCATATACTGGACTGTAAATTCTTAGTGTTCCAAAAAGCATTTGGGATTTTTTTCAGACCAGATCCCTTTCTGGAACTTATTTATTGTAAGGCTTCACTGGAAGTCACACAACAACATACACAAGGTTTTGTCAAACCTGGTAAATTATTTCTTTCTTAAGTACCACAAAAATAATAAGAACTGCAGGTCACTAACTCAGCAATAGTCAACAACAAAATGTTGTTGATACACCAAGGCTCCACCTCTCCTCTGAATCCTCATCCCAGATAAACAAACAACACCTGTTTTTTTGGAATCCTCATCCCAGATAAACACCACCTGCTTTTTCTGATGTTAGGCTGTAGGAAATTAGGAGAAAAAAATTCAGTGAAATAAGGTATTGAAAGGGAAGGTCATTTTATTACACAAACTCTCTAGGCAACTTGATTTCATATTTAGTTTCATACTCACAAGCTGTGGGCACTGAAGGGGTCTGGCCTGGATCTTTCAAGTTCCTCTTCATGGGTGATAAAAAAAGGTTATCTCTATAACCTCTTATCTCATTGGGAGTGGTCTTTGGCTGCTACCTTCCTGTTGGGTGGAGAGGAAAAGGGGCAGCAGGAGCGGTGCAGGGCAATCTCTGCCATCTTCCTGTTGTTACACTACAGAATCTTCCACTGACAAGTTTTCTCTGTCGTAGTTTTATCAGGCTTGACAGAAGCCACCCATTTCCCAATGTGATTAATTAGAAACAGCATCCTTAGCAGTCAATACAGGACATTCAGCGTCTGCTGTTTCTCCAGCTGCTTTCACACATGCTGTTTAGACTTTCATACACACACGTGTTTATATGCTGTCCATACCAGATGCAATATTTATCTTACAAGGCCTTAGAAGGTCTACTGATTTAAACCATCATTGCTCATTGGGAACATCAGAGCTGGCACAATTTCAAGCCCCTGCCAAAATTAATTGACAAAAGATGCCCAGGTGGTGGCCAAGAGCCCACATAAGCCTAGAAACACTTTCTCATTTAAGACACAGATGTGTGGGAATATTTGGAGCACGACTGCTAAACTGTCCTGAGGAACAGGGTGGTGTTTGAACCTTCCCCAAAGCCATCCCGGGCTTTGTTAACTTTGCTTGTTCCGCTGCTCTCAGTACCTTCTGACCTGTGAAAAGAGAAAGCTCCTGCTGCCCCCAACAGGTCTAAATTATTCCTGGAATCTGGAGCTCGGGGCAGCGTCTCTTCCCGATGGATACAGCTGTCCTTGGAGACATCTTCTCCATCACTATGCTGGATTTAGTGCAGCCCTTTCCCTGCCAACTAACAAAGCAGAGCCACTTGGCTTTCCAGCAAGATTTCAACACTTTATTCAACATTTCCCTCTGTCTCCCAGGATCAAGAGGTAGGTCTTGAGTCACTTAACATTCACTCTGCCAGCTTTCCCTTTTTTGTTCCTTCTAAAGCAGGTCAGATCTCCAGCAACCCACTCGTTGTTTGAGACTGATGTACCTTCACCCTTCACACACTTTTTTAAGGAGAAAAATGTGTTAGCAAGTCTCCTGTGCTCACCTGCCTTCACTGTAGCTGAGGGGATTTCAGAGGGAACCCCAAAGAACTGTACAGTTTAAAATAAGTTTATCCAAAACTCCACTGTGCCATCAAAGCAACAAAAGAAGTAAAGTCCCAGGGACATCTCCCTGTTCTTATTTAATAAAAATAAAAAGGGCATTTGGGGAATTTCAGTGATATTTTATAGTAACTCACATCTACTGAGGTGGAAAAGTTCTGTATTTAGACAAATGTTGCTACTTCTTCAACGGGCTAGAGAAGAAAGAAGAAAACTATAAAAGGGTCTGGAAAGTAAGAGAGCTGCTTCTTTGAAAGAAAGGGAATAAACTAGAGCTAAGCAGGGAAAGGACAGTACTGAAATACTAGGTGAAGAGCAGAGGTAACCTCAGGGCAGAGGCAAGTGGGAAGTGCTCTGGGCAGACTAGCAGTAGCAGAAGACTCAAAATCTTTTTCTATTCAGAGGAGAACAAGACAAAAAAATCCCCTTCTCCCCTATTCTGTGTTCTCATGGCAACTGTTTCTTTTTACAGGGACCTGGCTGAGCTCAGCAATCAAAGTTCTACAAAGTTCTTTGAATATTACCTTCTCTGGTGCCTGTGGTGGCCAAGGTGACACAGACTCTCTGGAGAGACAAAGCCTTTGAAGTCAGTGAGAAGGAGAATAAGCAGAACAACCCCTTGTCCTAAAATCTAGAAAGTTCCTCCTTCCTCTCCTTTTGTTTATTCACCTATAACACATCCTGCATGCTGGTGGAAGAGGCAACCTGAAATTTCTTCTGTCAGGAATAAGATCTATTCTTTATTTTTTCCTCTGCCTTCTGGGTGGACACATTCTGCTGCTCTTCCCTTGATTTCTGGCCTAATGGCCTCTTTTAAGCAGGGCCATTTGAGCCACTAACCAGTGAAACCTGTGCAGGTTTAAGGCAAAGGATATGATACAGCTGATCCAAGTTGCCATTAATCGGCAGGGAAAGAAAAAAAAGATGGCTAGAGTGACACAAATTCCAATAAAACCCAACCCAAGTCATAAATGCTCAAATTGCTCTTGGAGGTCCAGCCTGGTCCTGAGGATCTGCCACCAGCTGTCATTTTGACAGCAATTCAACCATGAGATTGTGGGCAAACCACATCTTTTCTCTCAAACTCACTTCTATAAAACAAACAAGTGTTAAATATCTTGAAGTTTGAGATCCTGCCAGTTTCTCCAGTGCTACCTGCAGAGCATTTCCCAGCAGAGAAAGGTACCCACGTGGGTAGGGATAAAAGCACAAAGAAGTTCTGGGGTCCCTTTCAGTGTCAGGAAAGGCATGGATACATTTTGCATTTGGATTGGCTTTCCACCTCCAGAACAGCTGTGTAAAATGGAAGACACCTGAATTTAAACTTTGCCAAAAAAGCAGGTTTGGCATTAAATGGACTTAACAGGACTGGGTGTTGCCTGCACATTTTCTCTTTACGATTTCCATTTCCATGACAAAAGTTAACTTTGAAAAGCAGTATTGTTGGCTTTCAATCAGAGCCACACCTGAAGATCACACACACATCCCATGGAAAAAACCCCACAGATAATTTCACTGAAAAAAAATTATATTAATGAGCACTTAGTCTCAGGAAACTCTCGTTTGAGGAATGCCAAGCTGAAGACCTCTTTGTAACCTGCAACACCACGGATTTCAAGGCAAGCTGAATCAGCAGATGATTTTCAGGATGCAAGGAATGGTTGTCTTCTAAATGCTGAGCAACTCTTGGTTAAAACATCACTTGAGATTGAGTTCTAAAGGTCCCTCTAGCACTGCACCTTCTTCTATCCATCACCAGCGTGGAGAACAGACTTGGGAACGTGTCCACATTCCCTTCCCTGCTCCTTTGCAGGAGCTCTTTCTCCAGGGGAGCAAGGAAAGACTGACACCCAGTGCCCAGTTCCTTCTGTCAGTGCCTTTGAACACCTTCCCTTCCAGAGACCACAGTCTGTGTCTGCTACAGGAAGATGCTCACAGAATCATCTCATCCTGGACTGACTTTGGATACGGTGATTGTCATTTCTGGATACCTGGAGTAGGGTTGCTGGACACCAAAACACTGTTTGAAAGTCCAAAGAGAGAAAACACAGCGCTGGTGGGTTACTGTTTTAAGGAAAGACTCACTGGATGCGTTTTCCCGTCCGCTGGTGATCTCTCCCACTAGAGGGAACTCTGAGGCCACCAAAGACAGGGCTCTGTGCTGAGGGTGCACCGGGACACGAGCTGTGAGAGGGGCCTTTGCAAATACATTGGGGGCACATCTCTGTCACACCTCGTGTAACCACACAAAGGGCTGAAGGGGGACTTTTCCAGCTCCAGCCCTTAAAAACATAATTTCTTTTTAAAAAAAATACTTATTGTTTTAACTTGGTATATAAGGAAAAACAAGTACCAAAAAAAAAGACAAGTACAAAAACCCCCCAAAAACACAATAACAAAAATCCAAAAACCCAACCCCCCC